TAGATATCAATAATTTGGGTATCTATTTAAGAAAAGTTGTGAAAACCATCAATTTGCACCCAATGAATAATTTTTACATATTCATGTGTTAAATCCAAGTTGAGCTAAGGTGGTTGTGTTAATCTGTAAGTATTATTAATTTTACAGGCAAAACACTGTATTCTTTTATATACTGTAATATTGAGTTTGTGCTGAAATTATGTAGTGGCAATAATTTTACTTAAGAGAGAAATTTTTCAATATTACAAGTTTACATTTTGGTTAATTTTTTTATGTGATAAAAAGCAGCATGTTAAAAGTTGTAGTTCTTAAATTTTGTAATAGTACTAAGTATTATATTTTAAATTACTCGATAAACTAATTCAGAAATAAATAATTTAATTCTGTATACTCGAAGAAAATCATTTCTGACTGGCATAAAAATCAGAATTTTGAAACAGTAGTAGAAAAATCATTAAAAATACTTAGTTTCTAAAACTCTGAATGCAATAAAAACAGATTAGCATGGGAAATGTCTGAGTAAAAGATAACTTGTGATCATTATGTATATGTTACCGTGAAAGACCGAAAAATGAGAATGTCGACTTTCAATGGAGAATGTCAACATTCACCAAATGCGTTGGTGAAAGATCGGATATTGCACTACATTCTTGTACATTCGGATCCTCACCAGTGTATGTCGACAATCACAGATATGCTCTGGTGTAGGTCAAAAAGAGAGGAGTATATGTACACGCTGTCATTGCAAAAGGAAGTCTTCCACAAATAAATGCAGTCGTAAAAGCAAGGACCTCTTGTGCAATTCAAAGAGTAATAATAGTTTAGGTTGTTGCAATAAATAAGATTGGAATCACATAATTTATTAAGTTTTTAACTTCTATTATTTTCCTTTCTCATTTTGAATGTACTGTGTGTTTTAAGTTCTTATGTTCTTATTTTAAGTCTCAAGTGTGTTTTTTTGAGACTGAATTACAGAGAAGAAAATATAATATTCTTATATGTTCAACATTCACCATTGGCACATGGTGAATGTCGACATTTACCGGTGTAAGTCAGAAATAAAAGTATTTGGAAAATATTTCAGACATACACCAAGCGACTATGTGAATGTTGACATTCTCCAGATTTCGGTGTTTCATCGTAACATATATACAGTCATTCTTATGTAAAATAAATGTTACACGCTTTCTTAGACCTCTGCTTTTCAAACTCTATCTATTAATCTGAGAATTTGATTATTTCAGTGTAGTAAATAAATAAGTTTTAATAAATGTATTATAGATGTCAATATGTTTGTTTTTTGTAACATATACTTTGAACATTTTAATTAAATAATTTTGCATCAATAATGTGTGCATATATTTTACTTATGATGAAGAGAAATTAACATTTAAAAAAGGAATTATAGACTGAAAGTATTTTGTAAAAGAAGATATTGGAAAAGGAAATTATTGCAATTCATAGAACTTGTAAATGAATAAATGTAATAATTAGTATCATATTGTTCTTATTTATTAAGAATGGATATTAAAATTATGGATAATAGAATGGACTTCTAAATGTGAAGCACTTATGCGAACAATAATACTAATTCATAACATTCTGATCTTGATTTTCAGTACTTAATGTAAAGCATTAGTGACAGCTTAGTGGAACTTATATTAAATAGTTGCAGTGTAATCTTAAGTCCAATGTATTTATTACAAGATAATGAAATTATAGTCTGGATTTTAATTCAAAACTCTTTTCACATATCTTTAAAAGCCCAATTTTAACCGGTACTTTTCTGTTCTCGGGACAGGATTCAGACATGTAATGTATGTAGCCACGATGGTTTTGGGTTTCATTTTAGTTTAGTATGGCAAAGTACACTAGGTCTATCTGCCTGTGGGAAGGGATGCCTTGTGGAGGACTTTCTAAAGGAAACTGGCTGGTATACCACTTACAAATGGGGAAAAAACCACGAAAATGCCCATGAAGCCAAAGAATTTGCCTGGATTCGATTCAGTGTTAAAAGATTTTAACCACTCTGCCCACAGGTAGGCCTATGCACGTGTGTATAAGTGTGTGTGCATACACACACGTAACATGAATACATCCATCCATCCATACAAAATCTGGTTCCGAAAATAGAATAGTACCTTTTAACCATATATCTTACATTTTTGATTAATTTTATGTACTGTCATCAATAATACATCTTATTAGATATATCAATGCATCTTATTATCATTAATTTCTTACTAACAATTCAATTTCAATTGCCATGAGTTGATGCATGATTCGTACATATATAATACATAAGTTGTTTCAATATAAAGATCAGAATATAAGTTACATAGCATATTTACAATAATTATTTATTACTCATACATATAATGTATAAAATCAGGCAGTAATTGTAAAAAAATACTTTTAATGAAATTGGAAATAAATGAAAATATAATAATCTGCATGTCATTACAATTTTTAAATGCACAAACTTCACAGTTAAAAATACATACTAATGTAAGAAAATCAATATTAAATGCTTTTTCTCAAAAGAAAAAAAAAAAAAAAAAAAAAAAATTGCCTGTTCAAGACATATTTTATCAAGTCCAACCATCAGTGGAAACCCAGGTAATTAGTCTTTAATACGACAAAATGTAAAATTTGAAATACAACTTTAAGTTATTTTTTTTAATCCATTCAGTTTTGGCTTATGTAAGTTTCACTGTATTTAACTAGATGTAAAGAACTATAAACACACATTCACATAATTCACTTGAAGGTATGTTTCCAGGAAATAAAAGTATACTTATTGGATTCAATTCAACATTACACCTTAGAACATGTAATGATACCTCATTGTTAGACATTTCCGATAGTCTTGAAATAGCATAACTGGTAAAATATCTTTCTAAATTCAGTTCTTGTTAAATATGTTCAGCATCATTTAGCATTTGCAGTTTATAGCTAAATTAGATTTCAGTAGGTCTATTACACTAAGGCACTAAAACAGTTAGTTCACTATGGTATTTTCTTTTAACATTTCAACAAACAATGAACTTCCTTTCTAAAAATACATACTGAACAATGAAAATTCCAAATATTATATATGCTTTATCAGAACTATAATGTCAGTTAATAGTGGTTTTTTAAATTGAATTTGATTAATTCAAGCAATTCACTTGAAGGTATGTTTCCTGGAAATAAAAGTATACTTATTCAATTCAGTGTTACACCTTAGAACAGGTAATGATACCTCATTGTTAGGCATTTTCATAGTCTTGAAATATCATTACTGGTAACCTATCTTACTAAATTCAGTTCTTGCTAAATTTTGTTCAGCATCATTTAGCATTTGCAGTTTTATAGCTAAATTAGATTTCAGTAGGTCTATTACACTAAGCACTTACAGTTTATTCAGTATTATTTTTTTACATTTCAGAAAAACAATGAACTTCCTTTCTACGATTCCAAATATGATATATGCTTTACCAGAACCATAATTTGTCAGTTAATAGTGATTTAATCTTCATAGATAAGCATATCCAACAGTCTTGAAATATCAGAGCTGGTACATCTTAAATATATTCAGTTCTTATTAAATAACATGTTCATCATTTAACTTCAGTAGTTTCACAGCTAAATTACATTCCAATATGTTCATTAGAGTGGACATACTTTTTCATCTTTTATACTCTTTACGTTCAATAATGAAATGAGGTTTATTTCTAAGAAAGCATATTGAATCCTGTAAAGCATATGATTCTTAATCAAAGCACAAATTAATGTTGTAAATATTCAGATAGATATATATGAAATGTATTTTAAGGATTTCTTGACACACACTATGTCAATTCACTGCAATAGTTACTGGTGGCATTTTGATTCAAAATATTTACTGCATTAATTACTGACACAAAATAGCACTTGGATTCACTAACTTAATATTAACTTCACTTTGTTTAATTCCCGCAGGTACATTTTATATAGTAGATGATTTAAGTCATTATCGCTTAAAAGTTTCTGATTATCAATATGCAGAATAATTTGTAAATCACACTTTACATATAGTATCTTCCAGCCATCAGTTACTTCTATCTGACTAGATCTAATTTTGTATTGGAACAGTAGAATAATCCTTAATATTCCGAAACAAACATTAAATCGTTATATACAGATATATACGCATATATATACACTTTTATTCCGAAAAACTAAATGTACATTCAAAAAACGCACTTCGTAACTTCCGAACAGTAGAATGTAAACAAACGTCAGAAATATGACGTCACTCATGTGGGCGGAGTTAATGGGACCCTCATCTGGACTGTCATTGGCCAAATTCAAGCCGTTGTCCTAGCAGTGTACATTTTGCTTATATGCCCCCCGTTTCCTACTACTCCAGTTCCTCTAAACTATAGGATGTTACTTCTCTTTTCGCCAATTCATTTTCCAACTTATGCATGGTTTTAGTAACAGATGCAAGCAAGATGACGCATTTTTTCTTAAATTTATTTATCTCAGTAGACATGTTTTTTATACGCAAAATAAATTATTCTAATCATATTAATTTATATCTAATTATTCAGAGTTAAACAGTAATAGCCTTCTTGTTCCATCAGGGATGCCATGTTAATTAAAATTGAACTAAAGTTATAGATTGACATAACTTGCCTTGTTTAACACTAGTTTTATAGAAAAATTCACAGTCGGATATTGTTTCTTCAAAAGACCTATGTCAGATTCTATAATGAATAAAAACTTTACACATAATTGCCAATGCAAACTAATTTTTTTCTGACTTTAAAGGTTACAAAATCTTAGTAAAATTAACTGCACCCCCTTTTATTTAACGTCATACCATCACTTACTCTTTTTTATAAATATTATAAATAAAATTTAGCCATTTGGCTTGAACTGTATTAATATTTCCTGGCCAAATGCACTATTTTCGAAGGAAAATTTATGGAGAATTGAGTAAATAAATTCATAAATAAACTTCAGAAGGATACAAGATTGTCTGCTCGGGATAATTAATCACAAGATTGATTTTAAAAGACTGATTCGTTGCTCTTCCAGCTATCCAATCAGGATATACATTTTGAAGTATAGCTGTGACTGAAGAATAAAGTTTGAATTTAGAATAAAATTCAAGATTATAAATAAGCTTTTAAAAAACTGAAATATATATAAACACATATATGATTTCTGAATGAATGAAAAAATTCATTGAACTCTCAAGGCCGCTACCTTTTATTTATTTATTTTCTTGGCTAACAGAGACGTTAGTTTCTGCACACACAACAAAATTTATAAAAGAAAAGTATTTTTAGGTTCAGGTAAACAGTGAAGTGTTTGTCATACCCTTTAATGATACCTAGCATGTCTCCAGTTTCTGTAGCAGTAATGTTAATTCTGGTGGCAAGATCTTCAGGCAAGTCAGTCTGTGTACCACAAATGAGACCTCTCGTCATTGTTATACATATACTGCAGCTGGTGGTTACTCATTTGAACAATTCTTATAAATATCAAATATTATTTCTTATAATTATTTGTGATTAGAAACTGATATTTTTTCCCTCGGTGTTCTTCATACTTACTTTGTTTCTGCATTCACATTTCACCACTCATTTCACTGTGCAAATTGACAGTTTTGTGATGTCCACACACACACACACATATATATATATATATACTATAACAGATCACATAAATTATACAATTAAACTTATCCGGGTATGAATAAACAATGCATAAAATTTCTACCAAATTTTATCACATAAAATGACTTTTTACAGGTATACCAACAATATCTTATTTTATTCTCTTTTAAAAACTTTCTCATACAGTACTCAGAATTTTGTACTATGGAGAGATAAGCAATCTTGTAAATTAAACATAGAATATTAAATTATTTACTTAACTTTTGTTTTATATATACTAGATAACAAAAAAATACTAAATTTAAATTCATATTACATAAAAACAGCAAAGTAGAACAAAAACGAACAAACCTGCAAACAAAACCACCGTAAAAAACTCAGAACAGTAATATACAAACATGAAAAATTTTGCAAAAATCAAAGAATCAAAGTACCATAAAAGTTACAAAAAGCTAATTTGCATTTCATGTGACATCTTCATATGGGTTTTAACGCCCCAAAAAATGTAGATATTATTATCTATGTGTGTTTAAATACTTGAAAATTAATAATTTTTAACTTTGTAACTTGATTAAAAATGTTAAAAAGTTATATCAGACCTAATTACTGGTTTCATTTTCAAGTAATCTAAATACAGAATTGCTTTTTTTTTAGTAGTCATATTCATAAACCCAGCAATGTAGTAAATACATTTAAGCAGAACTGCGTCTGGCTAATCTTTAAATGATCTTTATGTATGAATTTCATCAGATATTTTGCTAGGATAGAATACTGAGTATGAACATATATGAAAATGACTACACATGAAAATTTAATACTATTAAATTATTTATACTTTTATCCTTTTTGAACAATGAAATTAAAGAACATTTAGAAAAAAAATAATATTAGTATTATAATGCAATTATTCAAAATATATATAAAATATATATTCATTAATACCCAAGAAAAAAGGCTTCCCTTGCCCCTAAAACTATTCAAATTTAATGTAAAAATATGATAGTGTCCATTATATGACAACACACACTAATCAGTTTTCAGTTAATCCAGTTAAATAAAATAAGATTTCAGCCTCATATTATTAACTTCTTAATACACTCAACCAGGTACACAAAATTATTTCTGTGCACCCTGAGCAAATAAGTTCAAGATTTGTTTTAGATGTGAATACAACATAATATTTCTGCTACAGTTTTAAGTTAAATAAAGGAAGAAGTTTAAAGAGGTTGAGTTAAAATAAAAAATTAACAAACTGGAAGAAAAAAAAAACACTTTCAAAAATTTTATTCGTGCATTAAGGGGCTAAGGGAAGAATATATATATATGCTATTAATTCACACTCGGCATGGACTCTGTCACCATCAAGCTGTCCCATATAAAATGGATAAGAAAGTAGAATATTTTCCTAAACTGAATTTAATTGGGTTATTAAAGAGTTCTTGTGGTTATTGAAGATTATAATGAGAAATTTTTACTTTCTTAAAGGTCATTTTCATTCATCTATGGATAATTTTTATCTTCAGATTAATCCTACTCTCAATCAGAGAATGCCACATAATGTGCCATAGTCATAAATTGAAGGCTTAAACAGCATGATAATGAGTTTGTTATGCTTATGAGGCATGATAATGAGTTTGTTATTTATATAACTTTCATACTCTTTAGATTTGAATGCTAAGTAATAATTTACATACTAAATATTTTACTTACTAAATTATATCAAGCACTTAACCTCTTCAGTGGAAATTTCACCAGTGCCTTAATATAGAAATCTCCCAGGATAATTCGTTTTGGGCGATAAGGGCTGTACAACCTAAGAGGTTAAAGGCTAATGCTGAAAAGGAAAGATGAAACTGTAGAGAAGTTTCTTATACAAACTGGGTCATACTTAAACTGCACATAGGAAAAATCATGAGCAACCAGCTTTTCAGCTATCGGTAATCGAACCTGGGAAATAACAAAAGCATTTAACAGTTTAACCACTTGGCCATTGGAACAAAGTGTAGAGATATAAAGAGCCTTGATGCCATCTGAAAAACTCAGGTCTTTAAAATATTTCTATAATTACAAAAGAGGCTATATAAAGAAGCTATAAACCATTATATTATTCTGCATTTTATATATATTCTGTAACAAGTTGTTTTTGTGACAGTACAATAGCATCTGATCATTGTGCAATTTGTATAATTAATCACCTTTTCAAAGTAAAGGTAAATAATGCCCTAAACCAATCACAAATTTATGCAGCTAGCATTACACCAGAAATGCTTTTACTAATCAGATATTAGTCCACAAAGATTAATATGAAGCCATTCACTATATGATATACTTGCAAAATAACCTCTAGAATAAGATAAAATAGAGAAAATCCAACCAAATACTTTAACATAACTTACCATTGCGTCTAGAATATTCTAAGAAAATATTTTTTAAATTGGTGGAGGAGAAATCGTCCTTTTTGTCATCAATAACGGGAATCTGAATTTTAAAAAAATTTAAATGATTAAAAATTATAATACTCTTATTATTTTGATTTTTAAATAAATAGCACTATAATTTTTACTTTAGAATTGCTTTCTTATGCATACATTAATAAAAAAATATAAAGATGAGTAAAGAAAATACTTAAAATATTCTCAAGTACAATTCTAAAATCATTATTTATTAGAATTATTAAATTCATAGTACTTAATAATATTTATGTCATCACATAATGAGTTTAACTACAGTTCCTACTATAAATATTATATAGGAAAATACACATTCCAACCCTTTAACCAGAAGCAATAATTTACAGAAAGTAATGTTAAATCTGTTTTTCAAAAGGCATATGTACCTCTAAAAAGGCAGGTTTTTCCTTCTTTAGAAGATGAAGCATTAAAATTAAAACATTATAATAAATCCTTAATAAATCATTATTATCTTTTTATCCAATAAACAATAATGAAGGCTGAAAATCAGTTTTCAGAAGGGAAAATAATATTTCAAAATGTATTTTTTTTTATTCTGATAAACAGTGCACATAGTTTTTCTGTTTAACTCTTTCAGCCCTTATATTTTTTGAAATGTGAAAAAACTCCACAAAATATTTATCATAAGTGTTAGAACTTCTTTGCAACATGCGACTCAACAAGTTCCTACTTGAATTGTTCCTATTACCAGATTATTCAAACAACATTCAAAAGCAAATATTCACAAGATGAGTGGAAAAACATACGTGGACAAAATACCAGATGAAACCTCTGGCAATGAATACTAAAAGAGTTTTTACTACAGATAAAATAGATCTCTACATATAAAGATGGAAAACTTAACCAGCAGAGCCGAGAAGGAAAATATAACACTGTTATTTACACATCTTTTAACATAATTACATTAAATTTTACTTTCTGGATTTTAAGCAAAAAAAATTAAATATTAAATATTAAATTAAAATTTTGTTACAGATCCAAGAAAATTAGGAAATTACTTCAAATTTATTCAATACTTCCAAATTTCATTATTTGATCCCTACATTTACCTAAGTATGAAAATTTTTCTTTTCTGCATTTCCCACAGTGTAATCAGACAAGCAGTTACATGCTTCTGGGAAAGATAATTGCATTTGCAAAGAAGAGGCTGTAGATTTTACTTTAAGCTGAACTATCGAAGCAGCATATTTTTAAAAATAAAATAAGTTGCAATCTTAAATTTTTTAAAAAGTATCAGCTCTGAGTAGCATATGATAAATATTAGATTATTCGAGTTTAATAATGCATCAATGAAGTAAAAAGGCCCACCCGCGGCCGAGCGGTAAAAGCCGCTGACACTGGTAGTTTGGTACGGGGTTCGAGTCCCGCTGAACGGGGTGGCTGCATGGCCGTTTTCATGGTTTTCCCCATGTGAAATGTGGATAAGAGCCAGTTCCCCTTAAAAAAACCTCCACGGGGCATCCCTCCCTTTCCGTGTAGTGCCCAAGGGTAGAGCACATAATAAGCAACAACAACAAAAAAAAAAAAAATGAAGTAAAAAAATATTTACTACAGTTTATAATTTTCAAGTAAAGGAATAAATATCAATAACCATTTACAAAATACTTAATTTCATATAAAATATTAAATTCTTAGTTTTGTTAAACTCATTCCTAGATTTATTGTAGAAAACATAAAATATCATGGTTCCAAGACAAAAAAATTTTTAAAATGAATAAAGAGAATTAAAAAATTCTTTACCTTTTTCTGCATAGAAAAAATTATAATCAAAATGAGTAAATAAAATATTCTTATTAATTATTTTAATCAAAAATCAAGTTTAATTATTCAGAAGATTGCTTTTATTTTATTTTCATTCAGCAGACATATAAATTTGGTTATACATTAAGCTTGGTTAGGTGTCATTTAGAATGTATCTTCATTGCATAAATTGTTGATACTCTATGGAAAATTCTTGGGACAAATATTTGTTGGTCTCATGTTAATTTTTACTGCTATTTCTTATTTGCATTTACTTAGATGTGCTGAGAAGTGAAACAGAGGAAATCCATTATTTCCAGGCACATTTTATTTGCAATAAATAAATAAAAATAAAGAAGTCATGCATGTTCCAATTCTCACACAATGAAACTATGTAAGATGGAAAATAACTATGAAATATAATACCAACAACATCTGATAGAATGCTGAAGTAGGAACTGGCATGTGTCTTCTTGTAGAAATATAGGAAGGCATAGACAGCTGCAGAGAATATCAGTCTAATGTGACTGCCAAACAAGACCCTATCACCAGAAATCAAAAAGCTCGTTTCATTAATCTGCTAATGCTGAACACATGTTTCAATGCCAAAAGGTGGCAATAAATGGTTGGCAGTGTGTCATATATTAGGGCGTGTACTGCTTGTCTATATATCTGAAACATCATAGTTGTTACTTTTCATTTTGACAATAAATTTGAACAAAAAGAATAGAAAAGATTATTTTTCTAATAGTGTGGGACAAAATGTGAGCAAAACTAGCTTAAACTCTCAGAGAAACATGTTACTGCATTTTAGTTTCACCTCAATATTTAATGAGTGTGTAGAGTGGGGGAAGCATATAGCCCAAAATTGATTAACCAAACACTGAAGAGACAGAAACTTTGAATAATAAAAAATTGAAGTTAATGAGGTTTTCTGCAAATTACACCTAACACAACAAATGGTATACTAAGTAGATTTGCATACAAAATAATTCACAAAAATGAGTTAAAAATTATTTCCTATATTAATGATTTTTTTTTTTTTTTTTTTTTCAATATACAAGAGTTGTTGAAACAAAGTTAAAAAATCAAGAAATTAATTTTTTAAGCATATAAATATCACATTAGACAAATCTTATCGACAGCAGCATGAAATCATGTGATTCTGTCGCAGAATCAGTGAAATATATTAAAATTTAGTCTCACATAAAATACTCAGACAAATAACTCAATAGTCATATATTGATTAATAAATATTTGTATTTTGCATTTTATTGAAAATAAATTGCTAATAAAATTTCTATATAATCTTAATTGAATATATTTTATAACCTTAGTTTTTAACCTTTTCATTAAAAAAAAATTATAATCTTACATTATATCTTTCATCTTCCCCTGTGTGTTTTAAAGGTTGCTTTTGTATGAACATTAGATCACCAACAACACTCAATGCTGAACCTGGTAATGCCGAACTGCAGTATATAAAAGCAGCACATTCCATTTGGAAATAAGAATAAAGCTAAAATTAAAAATTCTATAGTATATATTAAAACTTCATTATAAGTACATATTCAAACTTCAATATAGTATATATTCAAACTTCTCTTCGTAATATCTCAATAAAAATTTTTAATCTCAAACTCCACTTACATAAAGTTTATAATCAAAAATAAGAATAAGTTTGACTGAATAAATTTCTTGATCTGTTAGTGGAATATCAATGGACATCTGAATTTCATCCTTTTTCCCATCCCTATTGGCATCAACTTCTCTATGCTGAAAATAAATAAAAAAAATAATAAAGCTAAAAAATTGAAAATTTTAATAGCCATATTTGCTACCAATAACAGAAACATACTGTTGAAAATAGACAATAAATAACATTGATTTACAGAAATTTGTCAAAACAGTATCATTGAAGTAAAATTGCACTGAACATATTTTCGATTGGTCCACACACATAGGTAAGCGAAAATTAGTTTAACAAGTACACACTTCAATTACATTTTGAAATGTAATGAAAACTTTTCCTTCAGAATGAAATCTTCTTTCTGCATGTTTTGAAAAACTGAATATAAAACTTGATAGTAGTCTAAGAGAAAATATGCATACTGTGATTTATTGATCATTCACCTTTTTCAGGGTGTTAAAACTATTGATACTTTCTGCACCCCCACTGAAAAGTCACCAAAAGTATTAATGAGATGAAACAGTAAATAGCCCAAATAGTTATGTGGCAAGCAATGATCCTATAAATATTTATCTGGCAATGCAAGTATGCACTTAACATATGTCTGTTTTGGCTGGTGTGCATGAATTGCATGGATGCTGAGTTTCTGCAAATTTCTGATAATTTTTTAAACTAAGAGATAATTATTCTATATATGGCAAGAACAGCAGTGCAAAAGGATTTCTCAAAAAAAGGTAAGTATCTTGTTATTAATGCATCTTGCTTTTTTTATTTGATTGATTGCTTGGTTTTGTACGGAATTATTAGCTTTTAAAAATAGTCCCATTTTGAAAATGGCTATTGATTTCTGCAAGGTTAACTGGCCAAAACATTTAGTAGCTAATGAGTTCATGAATTTTTGACAAGAATGCAGATAATCAGAAAGCATCAAAATATTTTACAGAAGTTAATTTAAGAGAAATGAATCAGTTTAATAAAGACAATGAACATTTATGACTCCAAACAAATTAATTATCATTTAAACAAGCTTCAGTAAGACATAAAAGAAATTACTTTGCAGATATGAAAATACTTTGTAGATATGATATATGGTACTTAGATATAAACTGATACCTGTAATTTGAATGTTTCACGGCTTATCAATAGTTGCATTTTTATGTGATTAATAGCATAAATTTCAAAGAAATATTTGACTAGCTGTTGCAATGATATGCAATTATAATCATATTTTGATGAGCGAGTACATAAAATTTCATATTTATGCATTATGTTTCCTTTATAATTGCATTTTACCATGTAAAGGAAACAAAAGTCATCCATTTCCTTCGAGACTGCAGAACAATAATCAAACACTGTGAATGATGAAACGGACAGTTTCCCTTCTTATGATCGATTTTTGATTAAGAAACAGAGCTCCAAAGCATTTTCATTTCTACATACAAAGATGATTTATTAAATAGGTGCAGAATCAAAAATGAATAAGTAAATCAAATATTAATTAAAAAAATGAATCTGCATTGGCTTCATTCAACAACAGATCCAACAGATAACTTTTGACTCAATAAAATGTCCACTTGCTTTGCAAGTGTGAAGACAGTTAAGAAAAATCTTAAATTCAATTCAAAAGCTTATACTCAATTTCTAAAAGTTATATATTTCAGTTAAAACACCGCTAGTCATAAACATATACCAAAGCACTAAGTGTGATAACTTTTTACTTTATCTTACGAGTAGCTATGTAATGACATCATTATGAATAAGCAGGAAGCATAAATATCAATCCAGTGATTTTTTCCCTTCAACATTACTACTTGCCATTTTGTTGAACAAATGACTTTTTTTTTTAAAGAAAGAACAGTATGGATTATGCAATTTGGTGGCCCTTTTTTATTATGCACCTGCTGTATATTTTGGCATGTGTCTGTGCGTGTACATGTGCATAAAGAAAAAATACTATGTATATGTGTGCTATCTGTATAATCTATATCTATATAATCTATCTATAAGCTATTCTTATAACTATAAACTGTTTGCAATTAAAAATCCAGCCAAAATGCATATCAGGTACAGAATGGAAAAGTATCATTGTTTGTTTCATGTAGATAGTCAGCATAGTTTTGTTGAGCTTTTTTGGGGTGGGAAGGAGAGCTGCAAGTGGGAGATTTTTCAAATAATCTGTACCCTGAATCCTGCTGATATTGTATGAATTTTCAGGCTAATCTATTCTACCGAACTGAGATAAATTTATCTGTAATTTTAATACAGTTGTTACATTGTCAATGGCTGTGCTATAAAATTCATATGCATCTTGAATATATATATATCAAAAATGCATACTGCCATTTTTTAACCATCCAATTGTCAGTCATAAAACAGAATACGTATATCATTATGTGGTGAGATATAAGAACATGCAGCTAATTCTAATATATGATCACATGGCAAAGTATAAGAACACACAGCCAGATACTGCCGAGATATCTCGGTTAATTAGAGATTCAGTGTTAGGTGCCTCTACAACAAAGAAGTTTTAAAAAAAAATAGTATATAAAACTTAATAAATATAATTTTTGTGCTCAAAAAGAAAAATAAAGACTAAAACATACTGGAATATATTGAAACAAAGAGGATAAACAGAGAAATTTAGTAGAATTATATTTAACCACTTCACTATTTGACCCAAAACAAACTCCTTGATTGGGAAAATAATCATCAGCAGCTTTGAATGATTTTAATAATTAAAATAATATCAAAAAACCAATGGCCATCTTAAATATCCAAATAATTCTGTAAATTATGTGCATATATATATGTGTGTGTGTGTGTTGTATTATTGTTCAAGGCTATTGATGACACTTTTAAATCGACAAGTCTCTCTCAGGGCAAATGGTGAAGTGATTAAGCTATATTATTTATAATTGCAAGAACAAAACAGCAAAATTATGCAGAAAATTATTTGAAATATTTATATAAAGATGAGTATTAACTTCAATCTCTGGTATTAGCTGCAATGTCCTGCTGCTCATCATTTGGTTTAATTTCTTGTAACTACTCCAGAAAATTAATTGCTCTGGAAATTTTGTTTCTAAGATAAGAAGCATTTTATGTTTGAAAGAAACATCAGGTTGCTCTCTATAGGTTCCTGTCCTCTTTAAAAAACCTAAAAATATATTTTAACATTGAAATGTGTATTTCTACAAATATACAAAAATAAATTATAAATAAGTTTTTTGAATCCCATATATAAAATCAATTTTGAAATAATCTAATATTTTCATTTGTTTAAGTTCCAATCTAAATGCTTATTTATGTAAAAGGCAGTTACCAATATTTTTAGCTCTTGAAAATCTTTTTTCATTTTTCAATCTGCATTTCAACTGAAAATTATTTAGCTGTTAACTAAAATGGATATTTAAATTGGACACAGATGATAAATCATTAAATATGGGCTTATGAGTTCACAACAAACCAAATATCAACAACTTAATAACTCTACCAAAACAAAAACAAATGTATTTAATGTTATAAACTGTGAATAGGGATTTGCTTCACGTAAAACATTTTTTTTAATTTAATGATGGTAAACGATATTCATTAACATATTTACAGAGGATCATATCATCAGAATTGTGGGCCCCTTGACATTTTTTATTTTATTATTTTTAAAAAGTTAATGGTACTGATTGACTATCCATATTCCCACCAAAAGTTGCAAACTTGTTGCTGACTTTGGACAGTATTCATGAATTTATTGGAAACTTTCAAAAGAAACACTTTTTCACTTTTTTTGCTTATCTTTCTGTCTATTTCAGTTATGCATTCAAAGCTGTCTATTGTTTTACATTCTTCTTTTTCCATACAAGGCATACACACTGCACACTTTTTTTTTTTTTTTTTTTTTTTTTGTGTGTGTGTGTGTGTGTGCTGTTGTTCTTTTACAGCAATCTGTTTTTTGTTCTTTTTTTTTTAATCGGAGAATTGCACAAAATTGGAATCCTAAAATTAGAAGGAAGGAGATGCATGATGCCTAAAAGTGAGCCACATAAAGCAAGGTGAAATGCATGAAAAAATTATGACCAAGTTAAAAAATGGCAGTATGTGGCCTACTGCTATGTTTAAATTTTCAAATTCCCATAAGAAGTGAACCTACAGCCATTAGGGTACTGTTACACTCATACCTTGGACGTCACATAATATTTTTTGGCAGCATCATCGTTAGCCCCGTAAATACATTTTGGTGACATCATATGTTCCCTCATCAATACTTTTTTAAGGTTTCCTGGTATAAGGGCAGATAATCAGAAAGTACCAAACTAATTGTCTTCATAAATCCTATATTTTATAATTTACAAGCATAACAAAATGATTTTGTGCCTGGCTAATACATACATAGCCTCAAAAGTAACAGATGAAATGCATTAAATTCTGTTTTGCCAAAACACTTTTCAAATGAGATTAATTGATAAGAAAAAATTCAAGAACTGGATTACATTAAATCCTTCTCTCTATAATTCTTAGATTATAAACCGTCTAAAAAAAAATAGATACTTTTTTCCGCTTACACTGGTCAGTTTTCGGCACCAAATAAAACAAACATTGTCAAGTCTTAAAACAATATTTGTTTAATCAAGAAGACATTCACATAAATTATTTTGGCCATTTTTTACTGCATTTTATTCTGTTGGTGCTACTTTGGTAGTGATTAAAAGAATTGTTTCTTCTCATGGAAATATTTTAAATATTTGGAATTCAATTACATTCTGCACTCGTTGAAATATAAATATGAAAATATGGATTTGCTTATGCTTTTCATACAAAACAATTTTAAGATAAATCTTAAAAATATTTGAATTATCAACTTCAATAAACTGATTTGCTTATAAAACTTGTTAAAGCTTTTGTTATACTAACTACTGTTTTCACTAAATAGCATGTATTTCTTAATAAGATTTGTTTTTAAGATTATTAAGATTTATATTCTATTATAAATTAATTATTGACATGCAAAATTATAAATTATACCAAAATTGAAAAAAAAAAAAAAATATCAGATAAGATGATGACATTAACTGAGAAGTATTAATAGAATATAATTATTTGCAGTATTTTAGGCACACAATATAAACATATAATTTTTGTATTTAATAAAATAATGGAATAAAGATTTGGAAGAAACATTAAATATGTGTTAGAACAACTATTTAACATCGGTAATAAATCAAAACAAAAAACTAATAATGATATATGCAAACCCGATACTTCATTATTTAAGCAACTTCTTAAATAATCACCAGAATTTGTAAACTTAATCATTAAATTTTTGCATTTAATTTATGAGATTTTCAGACCCAAAGCCTATGTGGTGCCACCTATAAGAATGCATCAGTAAAATAGTAAAATGCTGTTAACTAGATTGCAATATTTTTTGAATAATTGCAGATATAAGTAAATATTGTTATTTCTGAATTCTAAAAATATTATTAAAATGTTATTTTTACATGACATAATTATTTATGTTTTACTATTAACTGCAGTCTCAAAAATTTACATTTTAAGATTCTAGCAATATGTTTTTACAGTATAAATCTAACATTTAACTAAAAATTTACTTTTTCCAATGCATATATGAAGGATGGGAAAAAAAGTTACTTCCGAACAATCCTATCCCTGTAAATGCTGCGAAGCAGCGGTTTAGCACCAAAGATTTTTCCTTTTCTTTCTTGTAAATGAAAAAAAAAAAAATAATCATTCATATTCTTTTGTTTGTTCAGTTGAGATAGGGTGATTAAAATTTTGAATTTACCTTTAATAGAAAAACGCCACATTACACTTGCATTAGAAAAATTATTTTTCACTAATATTATACATTTAAAGCATTAAAATAAATATCAAAGTATAAAACCTTGAGTATAATAGGCAACAAGTATAGGAAATATAAATTGCAGTGCAGTTGCCAAAATATAAAAGAGAGAAGTCTTTGAACAGAGAGTAGTTTTGTGTTTAATCTTAACAGAATGTGAAAACACTTCATATAACGCCATGCTTTTAGACAGAAGAAATGCAAATATTTCCAACAATAACACGAAAACAAATATCACTGCCGTAAGCAAATAATATCGTAGCGTCACTAAAAATTACATGACGGTAACCATGGCAACAACCAAGTTGAGGAATTCAGGGATTTCATATATTTTCGCTTATATGGGACTCAAAGAATATTGTAAAAATTGACACAGAGTGAGGATGAAAAAATTCTGAACACTGAAATTTCATGAACGATATACAGTTTTTGGCAGGTTAACTGTTTTAGTAATTAAAATGTACAAAAAAATAATCCTTTAAAAAAATATTTATGTATAATTTCTATTGAGTGGCATCAATGTGTTTTGGTATTCTGCTTTCGAAAGATCCTTAGCATCTTAAATTTGCATTTAATAAAAGTGTTTGGGGTTGAATTCTTTGCTGCGGATTTAGATATTTATGTAAGTTAAATGAAAAAAAATTGATCCATTAAATATTAATGGCCATTCTAGACTATTTTATTCAATATCTTTTATTTCAGGTGTATATTTCCATTAATTGAATAAGAATATCTTTTGGAGCACTTTTATCGCTAAAGTAAGTCTATCGATTTTTCCTAGTTTCCTTCTAATTAATTATTAATTGGCGCTCTTCCTCTGTATAAGTATAATTAAATTAAAAAATTATATTCAGATACAACAAGTAGAACCAAAACGAAACTCGTACAAAACAGTGAAAACGGTTATTGCAATAAATTGATATAAGTGAGCACTTTTTTTAATTAAACAGTTAAATCAGTCAATGTTATTAAGTAATATATATAACATGTTTTGCTTTGAATTTTTAATTTTAAATTTACAAAATTACAGCAACTTTCAGGGTGTGATTTAGCTTCCTGTTTATTGGAATTTATTGTTTACTATTTTAATTTTAATTTATATACATATTCTTCCTACTTTGGCATGTGATTAATTGTATTGAATTCTGCCATTCCCGTGATTACGAACGAATTCATTTCATCCGAGATTTTAAGCTTATTGACTTAGTAGCTTTATTGTAGCTATTTGTTAGTAATTTTAGCTTTTTTGTAGTTTTTATAGCTGCCTTTTAGATTCTTTTTTTAAATTAATATTTATTAGTATCGTTCTTCCTTTTATATATTTTTGAATTCTTGTTTATGGTAAGTACAATTAATAAATGGAAAGTTAAAAGTGTGTGTATTACTCTTAAATAATGAATAAAAGAAATTAAGTATGAACTAAATCAGGGCATCTTAAACTTTTTTCGGTTGCGACCCTTTTTTATCACTGAGATTTTTTTCATTACTCCTGGACCCCATAATATATTTACAAAAATATTGTGAAACCCCATAAGCATTGTGCAAATCTGACATGCATGAGTGAAACCGTAAATTTTTTTCACTTGTACTGTAATATACTATTGCAGCTTTAGATCATTAACTTTAATTTCTAATTTTAAGACATTGAACAATGTGAAAATTTTAAATAAGTAACAAACAAAATACAGCATCACATGCAAAGCAAGTAAAATGAACATTTATATTATAAAAAGACTGTCGAAATGTTTTCGTTTTTTTCTTTGTCTGTATTGTCTTATCTTTATCTATTTTCAGATATACATTGTGTAAAAATATTTGTAACTGTAAAATTATTATAAGTTAAAGAAATATCAGTACTGTTAAAATTTTTGGTGACCCACCGTTTAAGAAACTCTGAACTAAACAACACCGTAAAATTCTTAAAATAAAGTGTAACAATTATTTCTTGGTTTGGATTATTTTCACATGAAACGCTTGAGCCCTTGAATGCCCTGCTGAACTATACTGGTGTGCAAAAATTAAGGACAAGACGGTTTTTTCAATATAACTTTGTACAAAAGCTTTCCAAATCAACATATTTAATACCGTAAGATCCCCAATACATAAGGACATTAGTAATGTAAGCAACACTTACTAAAAGAGAAATCAGAGGGATAAAAAGAAGCTTTATTGAAAAAGTAGCATGGAGCGCAATGCGACTGAAGGCCGAAACATCCCTGTGATGGGTGTCAAGCAAGAAACATCCGGTCTTTAATAAGGGATACGATCTCCCCTGACTGCTAGGCAGGTTTCACAGCGTCTGCCCATTCTGAGAATGAGGGTGTCAATGAGTTGTTGAGGCATTGCTGCCCATTCGTCTTGCAGCACCAATCGAAGCTCCGGAATCGTTACTGGTGGTAAGGTACGAGCTGCCAAGCGTCTGCCTAGAAAATCTCATACATGCTCGATGGGATTGAGATCCGGAAATTGTGCCGGCCAATCCAGATGTTCAATATCCTCACTCTCTAAGAGCTGTTCGGCAGCTACTGTGCGATGACATGGTGCATTGTCGTCCATGAAAAAGAACTGCGGACCCATAGCGCCTCTAAAAAGACGCACATATGGAAGAAGAATCTCGTTACAATAACGGGTCCCGTTGACTGAACCTGCATCGGAGATGTGAAGGTCTGTACGACTACCAAGCATGATGCCTCCCCAAACGAGAACACCGCCACCTCCATACCTGTCCCTTTCAATGATGTTCGAGGGATGATTGCGGCTTTCCCGCTCTCTCCAGATGAGTATGCGATGAGAATCGCTACTCAGACTGAATCTGCTCTCATCTGTAAAGAGTACTCGTCCCCATTGTCTCTCCAATTCCGGTGTTCCCGGCACCACAGAGAACGGCTTCTCTGATGGGCAGGCGTTAGAGGTACACACCGTACAGGGTGTCGTGCAAACAGACCACCACCGTGCAGTCTCCTGGCCACGGTAAAACGCGAATGGGTCGTCCAGTCGCCTGTGTCGTGTGTCTAGCGATTTCTCCCGGCTGTCTGCCGCCTGTTTCTTCTGGCCTGTAAGCCAATATACCAGTCATCTGCGGGTGAGGTTCCTCGTGGACGACCACTACTAAACCCCCGGATAGCTGTTCCTGTAGTTTGAAATTGTCTCCAAAGTCGTGAAACGATGCTGTGAGCAATTCCAAATTCTGCAGCCACACTTATCACACTGCGGCCTTCCTCCAACTTCCCAATGATTCGACCTCGGGTAAAAGCATCCAGATGTCGTCTAACAGATTGATTATTCGCCATTTCTCGCTGAGGCAGCAACTCGGTGTGATTTTAACTGCTATACGGCATGCAATCTCTTTGCCAGAAATCATGATCTTACACCGACAACATGCTTTATACTACTCAGACACTTCCCCATTACGTCTACCTGCATATCTGCGCATGTGCTACCGTACATCACCTTACTTAATCTCCTGATTGGTCTTTCTGTCCGCTCTGCCTCTTCGTTTAGCTGATATGCTAATTTTTCGACTTCGTCTTTAATTTTTGCACACCAGTGTACATTTATATGTTTAAAAGAAGACAGATATGTATATAATAGAATACGTCTTCTTTTCAGTTTTTAAGGGCCTCCTATCTGCCTCGTTATATATATATATAATTAATTTGTGTTAAGATAAAAAAATATGTAAATCAGCTTTTTAATTTAGTAATAGCCTCTTAATTCCTTATTTTTAATTTGGGTATTTTCTCTCTCTATTCTAAAAATTATAACTTTTCCACACTGTGCCATTTCTAGATTAATGTATGTCACATGGCTTGAATAATGCTGATGACATAGCTAATTCGGAACATGAACTTAAAATTTCGAGATTGAAAACCTTTTCTTGATGAGCCTCCATATTGAATAATTGTGTGCTTTAGCTTTTACCTCTGTGCCATTTGGACGCTATTTTTCTGTGCTCTCTTTCTATCGCAATAGTATCAAAATGTAAATGTTCATAACTAAGCACAATAATGCCAAGTAAATTGTGGCATCGAATGTCAATTGAAAAAGTTAATCTGCAGACAATGAACAGTTAATCCTACTCGGCTGCCAAGTTTCCTGGTCATTACTGATTCAATATTTTAGCATTTTACTCAATCAGAATTCTTCATGTTCAGTATGAATCTATATTTTAAGCTATCTATGTGCTACACCATCAACATGCTACAACCTTTTTCTCTTTTCCTATTATATATAATCAAGTTTTAACGAAAGTTTCCCACCACTGCAAATATCGTCTGCACAAATAGTTTGCTTTCCCGTGTGTAATCATATTTTATCAAACGATTTTTGGCATTTCAAAGAATAAGACTTTCTTTATAACACTGTGTTGTAAAATTTGTAAAAATATATCATTAAGGTGTCTGAAGTGGAACTATCGTACTACCAGATTAGAACCATCATTTATTTCCAGTTCTGTTGCAAAAAGTCAGCTACAGAATGTCACCAAATCGTATGTATAGCTTTAGGTATTAATGTTGTATCGTACGATACTATGAAAGTTTGGTACCGAAAGTTCAAAAACAAAGACTATGACATTCAAGAAGTAGAGTGCTCTGGCTGGCCTATTGACGTTCATGAGGCCCACCTGCGATAACTTGTGGAAAAAATTCAGTATGCAACCATTCAAGAGCTTGCTAAGGATTTAGACGTTAGTGCCATGCCCATTAGTTGTGCTATGCTTCGCATAAACTTACTGTATAAGTTCAATCGCTAGGTGCAGCATGAGCTGACTCGAGCAGATAAGGACAGAGGTCAGACCGGCACTAATCTGTTCAAATATTTCGGCAGCCGAGTGAAAACTATATAAGACCGAAGAGATCATCTGCTCTCAATTGTACTTGTTAGTGAGAATTGTTAGTTCAGAGTGACTTCGGTGTTGAGAGCTTTACCTTTTAGATGTGCTTTGCATTGCATTATGTTTAATATTCATAGTAATTTGAAGTGTAACTACTGATTTTACTCTGATTCTGTGAACACTTGTACAAGTATTTCTGTGAAAAGGTCCAAAATTCCGAAGTGTTTCTGTCAATGAAATAAATTTTATCAACCTATCATTAAACCTGTGTGCATTCAATCTATTATGTAACTGTACGCATGCAGCAGTGCGGTTTCATAAATTCCTTTTCGTTTTTCCTCAACAGTGGAATGTTAGGCTTAGGGTAGAAAACTTCCAGTGTGTTTTGCATAATTCACTTGCTCTCTAGAACTCTGCACTAATACTGGCCTCCAAAAGATGCAAAATGCAATAAGTCAAGT